TGTCTGCTCCATAAAGATGTCTGGAGCTGACTGGGGGCGGTGCGTATGGCTTAAATCAGACTGCCGTGACATGAAAGCAGGACACTTTCATGCATGTAGGTTTCGTTGTTTGCCAGGTGCCTGGTGGCCCCTGTGCACACGGCCAAAGTGACCTCGGCAGCGCACAGCGGAGACTGAGTGCTCTCTGTGGATGGGCGAGCACGATCCTCACTGTCGGCTGAGATTCGCGTAATTATTTGGCCCATTTTACAGGAGGGGAAACGGAGGGGCTCGCCACACTTGGATGACAGATCCAAAGCTCTGGCCCTAGGGCCCCCGCCCCAGGAGTGTGAGGGCTGGGCTGGGGGGTGCATTGCCGATGGACAACGGAGGAGAGGAGAGAGAGGGGGAGAATCTTCACAAGAGTGGCGAGTATTTCACATATGCATGCAGGTCTTGTTCCTGAGAAGACCCGCTCCACGTTGGTTGTAGTGGTTACCTGGGGCAGCAGGATGCTAAGTGAGGTTTCTTGTCTTTGTTTGGACACATAAGGGTCACGCAGTGTGCTGCTAACCAACTGCAGGGCCAACCGACCACCTTTCTACTCCTGTGAGGAGTCGCGGTCGCAGAAACCCGCAGGTGGCCGCTCTCACCCATCCTGACAGGTTTTCTGAGTCCGCATCCACAGGAAGGGAGTGAGGCTTTGAGTTTTCAGGGGTGTAGGTATTGTTTGATCCTTCAGGGGCTCTGTGGGCTGTCACTTGCAGCAGAAAGGTAAACAAGGCAGTGAGCTTCGATATGGGGTGAGCAATGAAACAAATAAAGAGGGGGGGTGGCGGGGAGGCAAGGTGTAGGGGAGGAACCAGAACGTGCCTCGGGACGTGTCCGAGCAGCAGGGCAACAGGGTTTGAGGTGACTCTGGTGACGATGCAGGTGATGATGGGACACTATGGCAGCGGTTCCCAACCTGTGGGTCGCGACCCCTTTGGGGGGTCGACCGGCCCTTTCATGGGGGTCGCCTGATTCAAAGCAGTAGCAAAATGACAGTGATGAAGTAGCAACAAAAATCATGTTATGGTTGGGGGGTCACCACCACATGAGGACCTGCATGAAAGGTGGCGGCACGGCACGAGGAAGGCTGAGACCCACGGCTCTCTGGTGACACCGATAGCAACAGCCACTCTCACTGGGGACATGCTGCTGATGCTAAGTGCCGTCGGGCGGGCTGCCACTCACAGCGACCCTGTGCACCCCAGAGGGAGACCCTGCCCGGTCCTGCCTGCGGCAGCCTCACAAACGGGCCCGGGTCAGCCCACCTCTTGAGGGCCATCCTCTTTGTCACTGCCCCTTCGACTTGACCGAGCACGATGCCCTTCTCCAGGGGCTGGTCTCTCCTGATAAGACGCCCTAAGTCCGTGAGATGACGTCTCGCCATCCTGGCCTCTAAGGAGCTGTACTTCCAGGACAGATTTGATTGAGACAAGGGCTGTATCTAGGAAGTGCCAAACCCAGTCACCGTCCGGTCCCAGCAAGGACCAACCCAGCTGCAGTCAGGTGGGCACCACTCCTGGCGACCACCCCCTGTGCTCTGGGATAGGGCTGAGCGCCACAGGGTTTCTGTTGTGGTGACCTTTCGGAAGCAGCGTGCCAGACCTTTCTCCCGAGGCATCTCTGGCGGGGCTCAAACCCTGATCCTTTGGGTTCGTATCTGAGCGTCTAGCTTTGTGTCACCCAGCCCCCTCTGAGCCTAACATCCTGAGGAAGTGCATGTGCAAACTGGAAGCAAAACAAGATCAAAGCAGGCCAAATGGATTGAAGACCACACCAGCAACAGGGGGGAGGAGGGCGCGCTGATGTGGCCTGGGGTCAGCAGCAAAAGGCGGGGCCGGGTTCTCCAGAGGTGGAATGGACACCCAGAGATGCAGGGCGCTTCCCTCTTTCTCATGCCCCTCCCGTTTTCATCGGCAGGCCCAAGTCAGGGAAAGCTGGAGCCAGCCACGCAAACCCTCCATTAGCCACGGCGGAACCATGACGGCCGGCCCGTGAGCCCATCTGCCTCCTGCTGCACCGGGGCAGCTCAAGCAGAAGGCAGGCCAGGCCTTGGCACACCTGTCTCCCTGGCACTTAGCCGCAGCCCCTGCGCAGGGCTGAGAAAACAAACAAACAAAACAGACCCTCCGCCGCTGAGCCCATCCCCGCGCAGAGTGACCCTGTCCGGCAGAGAACTGATCCCTCAGGCTTCTGGGAGGGCACGTCTCTACGGGGGTGGCTGGTGGC